GATGAATGAAATATAATATTGGATTGAGCTGAAATTACTAAAACAGGGACATTTACCTGAGATTCTGGATTTAGTATGTTATCTCAGTCAGCAGTAAGTGGTTCTAAGCATTTTCTTGGTTTTTAAACTAAAATTTGCATTCAGTGGTAGCCTATGATTAATGAGATTTAGATGTCATAACTTCCCTGGCATTATGTAAGAAATCCAAAGTTTTAGTTAGGGAGACAGGAATGTTTAGTTAGGAATGTCGAAGTGACTGAATTTATTATGTTCAGTCTATTCTCCTTCCCTCTATGTTCTTTGGTTGGGTGTGGGACTTAGAGACATTTTTCTTTACCAAGTTATTAAGAAATGAATCGGTGTGAGGAGATACTATAATGGACTCTGATTTAAATAAGAATGATATGTTTCTATGTTGCTGGAAAAACTCTAGGCCTGGTCAACAGAAATGTAAGTTGAGTTGCCACAGTAAGTTATGGTCTCTTGCTATGTTCACACACCTAAACCAGTTTACAGAACTTAAATCCCTTGATTGAAGGGAGGCTATGTCACCTTGAAGGAGGACCTGTGGTTATTTGCTAGGATACTATGTCCTTGGAGGAAATGTAGAATGGACACTAGTTCTGAGTTGACAGTAATTTCTAGGGACTAGAAATGCTATTGTGGTCTACTGAAGAGAGTGAAGATTTACGGAAAATAAGAGATAAATTTTGCCCTGAATTTATCTCACAGTGAAGGAGATAAATTTTGCCCTGAATTTATCTCACAGTGACTTCAATATGTAAGAGCCACTATGTGGTTTTTGCTCCAGTTCCTGAATTTATGGTTGGAATATTTATACTTAGCAACTGGTCAAGTATTTACATGTGTCCTTGACCCATGGAGAAATGGTTAATATGTTAAAAAGGGCCAAATGAAAGCCAATGGAAAAGGCTCTCCTAAAATAGCAAATCAAAATTAATAGCACCTCCCTGTGGAAATTGTAATTGTGAAGATTAGCTCTACCATTTAAAGACTTGAATATTGCAGGCTTTTGGTTCCTAGCACTTGCCTGCTTAGCCAGTATAAAAGCCAGAGGGAGTTGGAGAATGCCTGTGAATCACTGTAAAGTAAATTAGGTGCTGACTCCAATGACAGCTACTTTTCCAGGTGTATCTTTGCTGGAGCAAATTAGCATAGTCCCTGGTATTTGGTATGCATCTGACAAATGTGTTTTTTCCTATATTGATTAATGAGGATTATCAAAAGCAGTTTGCTTTCACCTGGAAGAGACATTAGTGAACCCTTCTATGTTGTCATAATACAGTCCACAGGGTCCTGGATCATCAGGACAGCTCATAGGATATTATTGTTAGCCACAGCTGGTTGGATCTTTTGAACAGAAAATAGCAAGACTCACAGATGTTGTGCTAACACAAATGTATACAAAGAGGTAGAAAAAAACCCCCTCAGAAATTTAGGGGCCTGCAATCAACACTATGTCTAAGGAGCATGTAGACATATTGCCCTAGACAAGCAAGTTCCTGTGCCTTGCACCACTTTCAACTAAATCAGAGGCACAATGCTGAGGGGGACTCTGGATATTGGAGGTGACGTATCCTGCATTTGGAATGTGCCACTCTGCATTTGGAATGTGCCATTCTTATTTATTGAGCAACTGGTAACCATTCCAATTTTGAGTGAGGCCCAAGGCAAGAGAAGGTTCTATTAAAGTCCATTTTGTAGAGCAAGGTCTGTGCCATTTAGCAGACTCAAGTGGCAAATACAGATACTGGGTAAGGCATTTTGCATGACCCAGGTAGAAGATGAATGCTTGATGCATACGAAATTTACTTAAGCTATGACTCTTCTACCCACCATGAACTTAATGCTCTCTGATCCAATAAACTAAAAGCATGGTGTATGCATCTGCAATCCATGAAATGGAAATGGTTTATATGATATTGGACTTGTGCAGATTGGTAAATTGGTGACAAGAGAGTCCAAGGTCCTTTATGGGGCTCTAAAATAGGCAGAGTGTGAGGATATATGTGTCACATGAAAATGGTCACCAAAGAGCAATCTCAACAGATGAAGCTCTCAGTAATCAAGTCAATGAGATGACCCATTCTGTGACTGAGTTCAGTCAGCCTTTTTCTATAGCCACCACAGTATTTTCTCAATGGGCCTATGTACAAAGTGGCATTGGTGCAGGGGTGGAAGCTGTGCCCAGGCTCAGTAAGATAGATTTCCTCTCGTCAGTGATGATCTGGCTATCTCCACTGCTAAATGCCCAGTCTGCCAATAGCAGAGACTATGGTGAAGTATTGGTTACCTTGGGTCTTTTCCATTATGTAAAAGTAAGAAATTTATCCCCAAACAAAAATATGTTTGATAGATATTTGTCTTTCTTTCTTATAGTTCTTCTGCCAGGAGCATGACTTGCAGCTTTATCCATTGTTTCAGACTAAAGAGGCTTTATCCATTGCCTCAGACTAAAGAGATATGTTTTACTGTGAAGGAAGTGCAACAATACACTCACACCCACGGAGTCCATTGCTCTTACCATGCAACTTATGACTGGAAGCAGGTCACTTTATGAAATGGCTTGCTAATGATTCTGTAACATTGTGAGCTGTGAGACGACACTCTGTGAGGTTGGGTGCTATCCTACAGTATGTGGGATATGCCTTAAAATAGTGGCTACTATGTCATACTGTCTACTCCATAGCCAGAAGGTATGAGGTAGAGATGTGAGGCCCTTTTTTACACCAAATAACCCAATGGAGTCATTTTTGTTTCCATCTCTGCAAGCTTGGGTTCAGTGGGTTTGGAGGCCCTAGATCCTCAGAAAGAAATGTTCCCACCAGGAAACACAATAATGATCCTGTTGATTGGAATTTGAGACTTTCCTTTGGCCATTTTGTATTCTCATCATGCTGAATCAACAGCCAGAGGAGTTCTCTGTATTGAATCAGGGAACCCAATTATCAAGGGTCCAAAATTATCAAGAAGAAAGTTGGTTGCTACTATACAATAGTAGAATGGGGGCTATATTTAGAACTCAAGGTGTTCACTGGGAGCCTCCTACTACTGTTTTATCCAACAGCCATTGTTAAGGGGAAACTGTGACAATCCAATAATGACTCAACAAAGACTCAGATCTCATAGGGAAAACAATTACGCCATCCCACCAGGTAAACAACAGTATCTAGCTGAACTTTTAGCAAAGGGGAAGGAACATGGAATGGGTGGTGAAAGAAATGTGATAAATATGAACTTGACCTTGTGACCAGTTATGGAGATGAGGACTGCAGCAGGCATGCATATTCTTATTTGTATATTATAAATATAAATATATATTTCTATATGGCAGTCAATTATTTTCTTTTTTTCCTTCTATTATTTTAAAATGAGGAATGTTAGTTATTCTTGCGAAAGTCATCAAGATCAAAATGGAGTCACCACTGGGGTTGGTGGGGGGAGGCTGGGGGAGTGACAGTAGGGCATGGGGAGGTTGGGGAGGGATAACATGGGGAGAAATGGCAGACATAGGTGACGGGGGGATGGAGGCAGCAAACCACATTGTCATGTATGTACCTATGCAACAATCCTGCATGATCTGCACATGTACCCCAAAACCTAAAGTACAAAAAAAAAAATGGAGTCACTTGTATCAAACCCTAACAATAAAAATAAAGCCAGAAGGCTGAGAAGAGAGGGCCCTCATGCACACATGCCTATGATAAGAATTATTACAAAGACTCTCTGAAGGGCTCTTACATACCGCTTGCTACATGAGTCACAAGGACGGCTAGCCAGATGCGCAAGAACACTTGCCTGATACACCAATAATGAACTGGTGTTAACTCCTGCAATAAGCCCCTGTAACCGAAGTTCTCTTTGTTTCAGAACAAATTATGTATACTTTTCCCTTTTACATTTAAAGGCTTCCTCTTGCCGCAACCTCTTTGGATATGCTTATGGGCTTTATAGCCCACATATGCCAAATTTGCAAATGCCCTGCACATTCCTGAATAAACTTAATATCTGTGGAGAATCCCTCCGTTATTCACATTGATATTCTTTTATTAATTTAGATCAGAGTTCACAAAACTGTGAGGAGCCAAGTACAGTTCTGATGGAGAGAAACTCAGTTCATGTGGGCCTCCTGGACATGGTGAGAGATACTATGTCAGATGGTAATTTGTGTTCCACCTTTTTGGGAAGAAAGTGTCCTTTTGTACAAAAGTTAATCGAATTCTAGTAGGTGGAAACACTAAGTCATTTTATGAAAGTCAAGTATGGATAGAAGGGTGAAAACGGGTGCTTTGTGGCACAATGGTTGGACTTTAGTAGCCATTTGCCTGATTACTCTTCAATCTTTCATTTTTCCTGTGCTCTGCTCAGTGTGGCAGAGGTCTGTATTACCCAGACTCTCATGCTCTCTAATGATTGCATAGCACAGGCACCAAAAAATACTGACAGAAGAGAGCAGGGTAGGAGGAGCAGAAAAGCGTGGATCTCTCCTCCACACCCTCACTATGGGTAACATATCGAGTAGTAGCAGAAACTCCTTTCTCTTTTGTGTCACCTTATGCCAGGTAACTTCTGCTAGGTTCTAGCTCTTTCTAGACATCCTACATGTTTCTCTTCAACCCTCAGGATGTTATTACCTTTATTTTGAAAATCATGGGTTGCCTCCTCTCCGTTGTATCTCTCTCAAACTCTGTTATCACCTTCATGTCCAATTCCCTGTGCTAAATCCCCACTGTTTGAAATATCTAGAATAGTAGTTTCTGCTTTACTAGCTAGACCTTGACTATTGACAAGATGTGTGTGTGCATGTGTATGGGTGTTGTGATATGGCAACTTGTATAAAATATTATATAAGCACATGTGTGAGTGTGTGTGTGTAGTAGTGGGTATATAAATGCATTCATGTAGTGGGCATATAAATGCATACATGGGAAATATGTTAAGATAGGTTTTCAAAGAGAGAGTAAAAGGGGGACTCTCAATTTTCTCTCTGTATATTTTTATTTTCTTTTCATAAGTTTTTACAACAAACAACTTTGTAGTTTTAAAGTATATAGCTCTTTCAGAATGACTCAAAGTTTGGTGACAGCTTCCATGTTTTCTAAGTTTTACATATAGGGCATATTAATATAGTTGTAGGGATCTTCTTTTCCCCACACCTCTAGATAACTCATTTCCTTAAGGAATAGAAAAATTTTTATCTACTTGGATCAATGAAAGTATTTCACATTTCATTTTCTTGTAACAGAATCAATTTTGTTTGATACGATCCAACAAATAATATTTCAACATTCATATCTTCTTCTGATTTCAGTAAACCTATTTGCAACTATTAAATCTCATGTTGTATGATTCAAAATGAACATAAGGGAAAGTGTAAGTTTGCTCTGTAGTGGGCTTGCCATTTTGTTTGTGATTTTTTTAGTGCTAAATTTTGTAGAGTGCAAATTTTCTAAGGAATAAGATAATTTTCTAAAGAATGAGACAAAATGATGCCCTTAAATTCAGAAATATAAAGGAAGGGCTATAAAATTATGCTGTCACTCTGAGAAATTTATAATACTTAAGATTCCAAGAGAGTTTGACAGTTTTGATATCGGAATTCCTTTCATGATTAAAATCCCAGCAATATTCTGGTGATAATATTTTGGTGGGTTTATGGAGAAAGAAATACTTGTTTAGGTGGCTTTCATCATGCCACACTGCTTCAATGTTATTTTTCTTATCATTGATGATTCCTTTGGAGCACTCCCTGGCAATATCAAGAACCTGAAGGGGAGTGCCACCAAAAACAGCAGCATGGTAATAAAAATCTCCCTTGTTCATAGGTATATATGCTTCTGATAACTGACTTCTTTCATAAGGTACTAGATTAGGATTTACCTGATACCAATAAGTATGTAACTGAGCTACTGACTCTCCCAGAGTCTCCAATCCATATTTTTTTCTGAAGGTTTGGTCCACGTCCATGCAGAACAGGAAGTCAACTTCATATTGGATGTGGTTGACAATGAGTTCACTGATGGTTTTCATGCGCATCATCCTGATATCTTGCCATCTCTTCTCTCGTTTAATTTCAAAAACTTTTAATGTACGGAGGGGACCCAGATGTATCCAAGGCATCTTGGAGAAGTTATCTACCATGACATAAATTATTATTTTCTGGCCAACCATAAAAAACTTATCAGCAGATAACAAAAAGCCTGGCAAATAGAACTCAAGGTATCTGTGAAGTAAATAAGAAGTGATTGAGTTCGTCTTTATATTATACTTTAGTGGAGCACATATTATTTAAATTGCACTAACTTTAGCTTATCTAGCAATGCTACTAGGCAATCACATATTACATATACTTCTTGAGTTACATTTAAGTAATATAGAAGAAAATGAAATTATCTGCCTTTCCTCTCCCTGATGGGGTTCTGCAGATCATAGAATAGAGAAGTTCCTCACTAGAGATAATGAAACTTAGTGAGATTAGAAAATTGAGCAGAACCCAGCCCAGAATGAGAGCCGGAGTTTTGAGGGTGATGACCTGAAAAGCGACGGTAACTTGCTTTTGGGGGTCATAGGTAGGAAAGGTCTTGGGTCATTGCAGGAGGAGCTATCATTGTCTGTGTCTTGCTTTATGAGTAATCAGTTATGCATACAAAATCAGAAGAGGCATAGTCAATAATCCACTGTCTGAACCATTTTTCTTATTTTACCTTGTGGCCCTTACTGTAATTTTAGAATAGCTGGCTGAAAAACAAAACTTTTTCAATTCTAGTCTCTCAAGCCAGGAAAAGATTCTCGGAGTAATAAATGGCCTCAGGTAAATTCAAAAAAGGAAAGGTAATCATGTATTGCTCACCTTAAATAATGTTTATATAATCCTTAAAAATGAATCCTGGTTGTTGTTCTAAGTTTTAATAAATATAGCAGATTAGAGATCAGGAGAAACCTTTCTAGTTCAGAACATCTAAAATTACCAAGTAAATTATGAAAAGTATAACTTAAAATATTCTACTGAGCTGGAAGCTAGCACCTAAAATCCAAAGAAGTTCATTTTGCCCACATTTCTTTTTAAAAAGTTTTAAATTTTGTTTTTAGAGATAGGCTCTCGCTCTGTCACTCAGGCTGGAGTGCAGTGGTATAGTCATGACTTACTGCAACCTCAACCTCTTGGGCTCAAGAAATCTTCCCTCCTGAGCCTCCTGAATAGCTGGGACTACGGGTGCACAGTACCACACATGGGCTAATTAAAATTTTTTTTTCTATAGAGACAGTGTCTTGCTATGTTTCCCAGGCTGGTCTCGAACTCCTGGCTTCAAGTGATCCTCCTCCACCTTGGTCTCCCAAAGTTTTGAGATTACAGGCATGAGCCACCTCACCCAGCCTGCATTACTTTCACGGTTAAGTGCTTTTATGTCATATTTCAGAAATCTTTGCCTCCTTAAAGTAATGAAAATATTCTTCTGTATTTTCTTCTCATAGCTTTATTGTTTTATCTTTAACATTTTAAATCTATTACCCATTTGAATTAATTTTTGTATATGGTTTGATGTAGGGCAAATTTAATAAAAGTTGCAAATATAAGTTAGAGAATTCCCATATACGCTTCATCCAGCTTCTCCTAACATTAATGTCTTATGTAACCATTGCACTCTTGTCAAAAGTAGGAAATTATTAGTGGTAAGACGCTATTAACTATACTATAGATTTTTTGATTTAATCAATATTCCTCCAATGGACATTTTAGTTTCCATAATCCAACCTAGGACGCACATTGCATTTAGTCTCCTTAGTCTCTTCCTGTTTGTGTCTGTTTCTCTCCTTGTTATTCATGACCTCACAGTTCTGAAGAGTCCTGATCAGCTCTTTTATAGAATGCCGCACCTCAACTTGTTTTTTTCAGAGGTTTATCAATTTTGCTGATCTTTTTCAAAGAACCGATTTTTGGTTTCAGTGATTCTATTTTTAAAAATTCTCTACTTCATTTATTTCTGCTCTAATGTTTATCCCCACACCGCTTTTTTCATTGCTTAAAGTGTAGTTTGCTCTTCTTTATCTAGTTCCTTAAAGTAGGAGGTTAGATTATTGATATAAGATCTTTTTTTTTTTCCTGAGATGGAGTGCAGTGGCACGATCTCAGCTCACTGCAACCTCTGCCTCTGAGGTTCAAGCAATTCTCCTGCTTTAGCTGGGATTACAGGCATACCCCACCACACCTGGCTAATTTTTGTATTTTTAGTAGAGACTGGTTTTTGCCATGTTGGCCAGGCTGGTCTGGAACTCCTGACCTCAGGTGATCCCCCCACCTCAGCCTCCCAAAGTGGTGGGATTACAGGAATGAGCCACCATGCCCAGCCGATTTTGGATATTTCTTAGTTTTATTTAACTTAAAACATTTTTTGATTCATATTTGTTGTTTTCCAAGTGTTTCAGAAGTTAGGAGATCAACACAATGGCTATATTTATCCATCTTTAAATGGCAATATTTCATTGTAATTGTATTTTTTAGGAGTCTACTTTAATTATTTTGATTTTCTATTTGATTAAGAATTAAGAAAAAATTGGATTTATTTTTAAATTACTGGATTATTTTATATACTTTTTATTTTATGTATTATGATTGGTGGTCAGAAAATATAGCAAGTAAAAATTCTATTACAAATATCTGCGGTTACATTGTTTTATTATATATTGAACCAGTGTTCCTGTAAGGGGGCAATAAGCACAGTTAAGTAAGCTTATCTGAAAGTAATTCATGATTTGGGGAAAGCACTGGTAGGAACAAATTATTAGGTCGACTCCTTATAAAAACAATGAAAAATGGCTATAACAGAAGCACAACCTTATGAAGGAAGAGAAGATATTTAAAATGACTGTCAATAGACCCAAGAAATTAAATTAATATTGGGAGAGCATTGTAAAATCAGATAAAAGAAACAAAAGAAAACTCAAGTGTTGGGACATTTTTTGAGTGGACCAAGTGATATTTAGAATTATAGCAGGAGGGCCGGGTGTGGTGGCTCATGCCTGTAATCCCAGCACTTTGGGAGGCCGAGGCGGGTGGCTCACGGGGTCAAGAGATCGAGACCATCCTGGTCAACATGGTGAAAATCCATCTCTACTAAAAATACAAAAAATTAGCTGGGCATGGTGGCGCGTGCCTGTAATCCCAGCTACTCAGGAGGCTGAGGCAGGAGAATTGCCTGAACCCAGGAGGCGGAGGTTGCGG